TCACTGAGGTTCCATGCAGGCACCAGGGTCTGCCCATACAGATCCAACTGCAGGGCCATGGTCCACATTTGTAACAGTGACAGAAATGGACAGTATAAATAGCAAAGCTTGAAAAAAAAAGTTTGGCTTTAACAAAGATCCCTAGAGAGAAGGTATCCTTGTTTGGAAGTTGAAAGTAGTAGCCAAAACTTTCAAACGTGAATGCCTAAATTTGACTCCTAAATCCATATTTAGGCACTGAAATAAAGGTGGACAGATTTTCATGCAACAAATCCTACTGAGGTCAAAGATAGCTAGAAGCACTCAGCATCTTTGAAAGTCAGTCAGCTTTTACTTAGGCATCTAAACATGGAGTTAGCTTTGGGCACTCAGGTTTGTTACCTCTGGCCAATACTTTTTTCTTTTAAGAGTCCTATTCAAGTATGGATTATTCAAACTGTGGTTTTACAATATTTTGAATTTACCAGATTACTTATCTCCTGGCTATGTAATTTTTCAGTGTGTTAATAGGTTTATTTAATAGCTACTGGATTCTTGAAAAAGTGCTGAGTCCTTGTTTCCTTCTCTGCTTACTCCAGGTTAATACCATGTGTTATCAAAATCCTATCACCCTCGCTTGCTTTCATAATAATGATAAAAGATAAGCAATTCAGAGGCAGGTCTTGCTGTCACAATACAATGCCATATTAAAAACACACAGATGTGAGAAACGGAGTTTCTTGAACAGCAGGTAGAGACTAGTCCCTGATCAGAACCGGAGTTTGGATGCAATTTCACTACTTTCTAAGATGTTACTGTACTTGTGCTGGCCCAGTAAATGCTGTACATGGATGCCTGAGGTGAAAAGAAAAAGAGGAAAACAATTCAGATTGTGAGATTTTAGTACCATAAAAAAAAAAGTTCTTGAGGCTGGTCAGAGAACAAAGTATCAGCTGTTAAAGGTAGACACAACATCAGAGCACATTGCAGACTTTGCCTGTAAGTTTCTCAACCAAAATCCTTGCTAGAAATTCTGCATAAATACTGCATTCTTTGAGCCCAACAAGAATCTACAAATCATAACAGCCAGCCCAGAAAAAACATACCCACCTTGTTTTGATCTTTGGAAAATGATTAAAACTACCTCCAAATGGCAGATAGAGGCAGAATTTAAAAAAAAAAACCTAAGTGACATAGGAGCATAAGTTCAACTGAAAGTCAATGGGAATTGTGCTTGTTAATCACTAGAGGCTCTCGGATATATTATCTTAGGTATCTAAATTGTACATCCAAACGGTTTCTCTCTTTGCCCCCTTTTATGGTAATTGTGATTGGCTAAAAGGGTTGAACTCCTAGAGGTAGGTGGGAGGGCTCTCAGTAAAAGGCACCCAGTACTGGATTCACATGGGACAGCTTGATCCAACCCTCCGTGACTGGTAGAAATTTTCAAAATTCCATTGTATCAAAGAAACTATTTGTGTAAACGATCTGGAAACAAAAGCTAGTGTACTATGTGGCAGCAATAATGCCACACAGGGCTTTATAATGACATCTTTGGCAAACTGAAAAATAGTAGTCTCCTGCCACCTGGCGAAAGAAGTATTGTATTGCAAAATTGCTGCAAACCTTGAAGGGAGATGCTAAGACGAAAGATCTTCACAGAAAAAATGGTCCCAGAACAAGGATATCTATTACTTACTTTGTGTTCCCCAACTATGTGATTAACTTTTTTCACAACAACAACAAAAAATACATTCTGTAGCCTACATTAAAGATAAAATTCCTAAAATCCTTATTTTGTGCTTAATGTAGTACTGAAACTTACCTTGCATATTAGTTTGATTTTGGATGACAAAGAACCTCCTGTGTGCTATAAGGAAAATTTAAACATCTAAACAGCATTTATTCAGCCCCAGGCTCATAATTAGTGATCCCAAGCTGAATTTTTGAAAAAGGTGAATAATTTTATTAACAGCGGCACCATTCTTTTGTGCTGGAAGCAGGTACTAGACAGGATGGACAAATGATCTGGTCCCATACAGTGAAATCTTTGTTCTTTTAAATTTGAAGTGGAGCTTTGGAAGAGGGAGACTAGGCTGACTCTTATGCTATGTTGGGGCTCTGCATACAATGCATGGTCTAAGTCATGCTGATTCCCACTGTACAAATACAGGCAGAAATACACTGGGAAGGTAAATGCCTTTAATTCCTAGGTTAAAACCTAGAAGCTGCTTCTCCCAAACCTCCTATTTGGCCATTCAATATAGAGATATTAGAACTAATCATAGGAGAGCTGGCATTACTGATGCTGGATTATTTATATTGATACAGTATGATGAAAGGTTGGGGATAAATGAACAGTACAAGAGTTGTCCCTGATGACAAAAGCATAAAAAAGCAAAACTAAAATAATCGTAACCTTAACCACATTTTAAAAACATAATATGGAAGTAATTTAGTTTCAAAATACAACTTTAGTATTTTAACAAATATTTGACTTACATGTATATGTAAAGGGCTGGCCTTAGGTTCTAGAGGGCCCTGTGAGAAGGAAGATGTGCAGAGCTACCTCCCTCCCACCTCCTCTACCCCAATTTCCAAGGGAGCACAAAAACTGGTGGGGCTGAAAAAGTCAGCTTGGCAGGAGCACAAGTGAACAACAGGAGAGTTTGGCACACATGGTGCGGGACCCCCAGCTGGACAGGGAAAAAGATAGAAACTGAGGAGTATGGAAGGACTGCAAGGACACTAAGGAAATGGCCAGTCTAGTGGTAGCTCTATTACTCTCTGGCAGTTAGCTATTCTGTAGTGAGAGTTACATGGACAAAATGGTGGTCTCTGGTAGTGTAAATGGGTGTAAAGGGGCCTTAACATACATGCAAATCAGGCCCTATATACGTAGAGAGCTCAATCAGTTGTTAAAGTTATATACTTTCCTCTCCTCTGGTAGGTTTCTTATTTTAAAAGAAAAATTGATTAGACCAAATGTTCAAACTATTTCATTTTAAAAAGACACTTAGGCACAGCTGCTTATTGCGTGATGTCTTAATGGCATTTGTCGAATTAGCCAATGCTGCAGCTTATTTGCATAGTGCAGTCCAAAATTCTATAGCTTTCAAAACTATTGCTGACAATGGACTATAGTACCCAAAGCAAATTAACACTTTGTTTTGAAATTAAATTTACAGTGCAAAACCCCCATTCATGAGAAGGCAAGAGCACACATTGTGCTGCAGTATGGTATCATCTGGGTTCACATAATATAGGAGAAGATAAAGGATTATGGACAAAAGTCCTAAGATTTTAATTCAGAGATCAAAACTCAATTTTTAATAAGAGCAAGTATACATTATCCAAAATAAAACAACATGATTTTGCAGCAGATTTTTTAAAAATATGACATACAAGAGAACTAAGGTGACAGGACCAGATTCTGCAAATAGACAAATAATTATGACTAGGATCACAGCATTCATTTCTTTTATTGTTTTACACAATGGTAGGTTGCACATGTGGACAAGACAGCACACAGTTTAAAAATTAGTTTCACAAATTAATAGATTACAAGAAAGTCCAGTGGTTCAACATTTTAAATTTAACTTTTTTAAAAAAAGCAGTAACAAAGAAATACAAATATCAGGATTTTGATTGCAGCCCAATGCAAGTTTTGAAAAAGGTTTAAGTTGAAATGGACTTTTAAGCTTTTAATTCTGCCTTAAAAAACAAAAACGCACACACTATTAATTGCCTCCCAAAGAAAATGCTCATCTCTTAGATGCAGTAACATACAAGTGTACAAAAGTGAAAAGTTCTGTGTTCAAAACTAATATGCTTATTTCTGAACACAAACAACAGAAAACCCCATGTCTGTCAAAGGCCAGTAATTGCTGTATGCAGACATTACTTCCAGAACATACAAAACAGTACTTGACAACACTTTTACAATTGAAAGCAACTGACTTCATACTAGAAAATTATACGTAATACCTGTTTTAGAAAAAAGGTGCCTTGGTGAAAGTGACTGTGAATATTCACTTGGATGCACATTATGTACAAAACAACCTCTATATTAAAAGCTACACTTATCTCCAAAATTCCATATACACTCGAAGAGATTTTTCTGCTGTTTCTGTTTTAATGCACTCTGAGCTGGAGATGCAGCCCAATGTGCCAAGATGCCATAACATGAAGTTTGCTGCACTTGTAAGACTGGTACTATTTCTATTGTTACAATCACTTACCCTCAAAGTATACTGTTTTAATTTATTTCTTAGCAGCAACGGGTGTTAAGGGCAGGTAAGCAACTCTTTTTGGAGTCAATGCCAGTAGCCCTGTGTGAATCAACTCTGTTTGGAATGGTTAGCTACAATTTTCATTAGAGTGGCACAGTCTGCATCCACCACCCACAGAGAGAAGAGACCATCGGCTTCACAACTCTCTGTCCCCAAGCAAATCTCCTGAAGCCTAGCAGCCTCAGAAATGAAGCCCAGCCCAGGAGAGATCAGTTTGGCAACACCAGCTGTGACAACACCTTTGTTTGAAAGTCTCTCCAGATTCTTCTTTGGAGTGATTGCTAGCTGAGGAAAGGAAAATGTTGAGGACAAACAGGCAATTAAACACTATTTGCCAGAATGATACAATAGTGAACAGTATTTCAGCTCGTCTTTAAAAAACAAGCTGCAAAAATATTACAGCCTGGGACTACTATTTGATATTCCTATGAGCATCAAGATGTGGAAGCCTAAAACAACATGGAAAGGGGAACACACAAAGCAAAGAAACATGGAGAGTTTTGTCTATGGGGCAAAGTTCACGTGTTTTTATTATATATACAAATACATACACACAAATGTGTGCACTGTACTGTGTGTGTGTATATATATATATATATTTACATCTATATTCACAAAGAAACACCCTGAAGTAGATTTAAAGGCCATATCCAGGAACAGAAGATATGAACTCTAGTATTTGTACTAGAATATATTTTATCTGTACAAAAAACCCAAATATGCATATATTCATATGGTATAAAGCTTATTAACAAAAAATATTCTGCTACTACCATTAGGTATAAAGCTTATTAACAAAAAATATTCTGCTACTACCATTAGGTTAAATAGATGGTTTTACAAGATTCTTTAATAATGCAGTATAGAACATTTCTAAAACTAGAACCAAAATAAAAATACATAAATGGGTTTCTATTCACAGGAAAATAGTTGTTCAATATGATTACATTTCATATTCCAGAATAGGGAAACATAGCAAAATTTTATAAATCTCCTGGGATGCAATTTAATTACTGCATCCATTTAGAAAAATAGACTTTTAGGATGAACAAAGCTGATTCACTTCCCCTTTCCCCAACAGTGTGTCTATCTTTTCCCTCTCTTGTTTCCAGCTGGAGGTTTCTTCAGCTGAAGAAGTTGCCCTCCTGTCCCAAAACCTGTAGATGCAGGATTAGACACCCCAAATGTCAAACCAGCCGATGCTGTGATGCCAGGATTACTGAAGTTAAACCCAGATGTAGTTGAGCTGCCAAAGCCTTGTATGGGAAGGAAAAATATTTTAAAATCAGAAGTCAGTTAAATCATAACTTCAGATTTGCCCTCGCTCCCATTTACCAGGGATAGTTACTTATTGAATTACTAGTAATTACACTACTCTGAAGATATCAAAGTGGACCCACAATACTATGTCACATTCCTAACACATTGTTTTAGATTTGCTGCATTGAGTCAGAGGCATACAGTGCTTGCACTGTAACATCTAAATTACTATACCCTATAGCGTAATAGTTATTTCACTTTGTTATTATCTGTATTACAGTAGCATCTAGAGTTTTCAACTGAGATTGGGGTCCTACTCTGCAAGGCACTGTGCACGTCTGTCCCTGTCTCTGCATGTTTACAATCTGCCTAGACAAGCCAGACAAAGGGTGGGAGAAGTACAGGCACAGACAGGTGAAGTGACTGGCCTGTGGTCTCTCAGCAAATCAATGGCATATCTGGAATAGAGCTAACAGTCTTGTGCCCTCTTAACAAGACCACACTGTCTTCCTAATATGTGCAACACAGGTCCTAATCTAAAATGGAAATAAGTAAACACTAAACATCCATGCCAAGTTTTAGCTATTTAAAAAAGCCCTTTTGAATTAGTGCACAAAAGACAGCAAGCTTTGGAAAAAACAAAGAATAGCTCAGAAGATGTTGCTAAAGTAAACAAATGAAATCCATCAATCTTCCTTTAGAATGAAACACATGAGAAATTTTGTTCAAGAATTTACAAAACAGAACTGGTCAAATACTATTTTGCAATAATAAGCAAGTAAAAACACCAAGTTCACTCAGATTTGTGAGGTCATATTAGTTATGCATAGGTATTTGGACAATAGCTGAATATTTATGAAAGTGTTAGAGAATCTTAAGAGTTTCTGAAAGATTAGCATGATTCATAACTGCAATTCACAGCAGAAGTTCATTATTCATCCTTCTCCTGTTTAACAACTTTCAGGGAGATGATGATTGCGTGCGATTGGTCACGTTAACGAATATGTGAATTAATCTTGAATCATGAAAAGGATAAAAATCATTTACTGAACACAAATAATTGAAACATTAACAGAAATTAGGATTGGTTCACAAGCTATTCACAGGCAGAAAAGGAGCTAAACCCTTAATGAGCATTATTTATAACAAGTAGTTTAACCAGTACTAGTTATAAGTATAAAAGAGAGTCATAAAATGAAAGCATCTCCATATTCATATTCAGTATCACTGCCACAATGCTATAAAAATTTCTGTAGGTTTGGAAAAACACATCCTAATTTACTTCCAAAATATGCCTCATTTGAGTCGCAAAGTTATCTATGTTCCACACAAATTTGATGTCCTCTCACTTCTATTATTGAAAATTATTTATAATCAGAAATAAAGAATCATGAAACTCAGTTTCAAGTTATTTACATTAAAGGAATAAATCCTACAGCACTTTAAGACTTGTGCATAAATAATTGTGTGAACACTTCAATTTGGACCTTTGTCCATCACCTGGGTGCTTCATGCCAAATAGAAACACACACAGGTACAAATGCTATACTGGCCTCTTCAAGACTGAGGCAAATAAAACTCATATACTACACCTTGATTGTAACCCATTATGATAATTCAGTTACTGCCTATGCAGATCCTCGCTCTTGGGATACCACTCTTGACTCATGATTTATTTTGAAAATTTCCATACGTTGCAATATTTCATGTACTTGCTTCTTGATGCAGAAATTGTTATGCAGGAGGTCAGACTAGATGATCATAATGATCCCTTCTGGCCTTAAAAATTATGAATATATGGAACAGTAAGAATTAGTGAAGTACTAATCCCTAATTCAACTGCTTTTTCATATCAAATTAGAAATATGATCAAGGAAATGCCATGAATATGATTAGACTTTAATAATGTATTCAGTGAAACTTTTGTTTGATTTAACTCTGCCAAAAGGATTAAGCCATATGCAAAATGTATTAAAAAAACAACCTATCAGATGAACCAGATAGCTCTCTTTTTGCTATAATTACAGATTTGGTGGAAAAACCTTCACTGTGCACACAACTGATCTTTCTTTTAAGAAAAGTTTACCTTACAGTAACCGTGGTTCTTTGAGATATGCATGTGGATCCCACTCTAGGACTAGCATATGATTCCTGTGCATGAGATTGCAATCTCTGAATAGCAATGTCTGTTGAGCCTCGCTGCAATGTCCTTGTGCCCCCCATCCAAGAGCATCATGGGCAAAGCAGCCACAACCATCCCTCAGTTCCTTCAGAATCCCAGGTAATAAGGACTCTAAAAAGTGGCGATGAAGGGCAGATCCTGGGATGCACACGGATGACACATAAGAACGGCCGGACCGGGTCAGACCAAAGGTCCATCTAGCCCAGTATCCTGTCTACCGACAGTGGCCAATGCCAGGTGCCCCAGAGGGAGTGGACCAACAGGCAATGATCAAGTGATCTCTCTCCTGCCATTCATCTCCATCCTCTGACAAACAGAGGCTAGGGACACCATTCCTTACCCATCCTGGCTAATAGCCATTAATGGACTTAACCACCATGAATTTATCCTGTTCTCTTTTAAATGCTGTTATTGTCCTAGCCTTCACAACCTCCTCAGGTAAGGAGTTCCACAAGTTGACTGTGCGCTGCATGAAGAAGAACTTCCTTGTATTTGTTTTAAACCTGCTGCCTATTAATTTCATTTGGTGTATATAGTAACCGCTTTAAAAAGCTGGATACAGGGGGGCAAGGGAGAGAAAATAAACATGACTGTACTGGAGAATGGCATGCTAAGCTCATTATAAGGTGGACCATAACTGAACTAGGAGTCCAAAGTGTTTCAAATACAAAGTATAATCAAGGACTTTAGGTATAGGAGCCTCCATTAGGTCAAGGTTGTGTGTGGGGCTGCCCAAATTGAAAATCTTTTCCATTTACAGGAATAATTTTTTCTTGGGGAATGCTTTCTGCTTTGCAGTAGGATCTTCTGTACTTGTAGAGAACAGTAAATCAATAGCACTCCACCAGCCAATATCCAGGCTGTCAGATGTAACAATTTCAAGTCTGGATTTAGTATTTGACCTTGATTCTGTGATACTATGTTTGGACAGTCTGAAAGTGGTATTGGATGCTGAATAAATGTCTTGAGGAGATCTGTTAACCTAAATTGTCTTGGCCAATATGGAGCTATCAGGATCAGTATGAATTTTGCATATCACTTTGGTTATCGAAGTAATAGGTGAAAACATGAGTCTTTGATCCCATGGTACACGAAAAGTGTCTTAGAATCCTGGATTCATGTCTCCATTGGAGCAAAAGGCTGAACACTATGTGCTGTTTGATGACAAGTCTATAACGGGATATTCCCATTGGTGAAACATTGGCACGATGGAGTTCTTCAGAGATCATGTGGCTGGTAATGGATTGGCTGATTAGGAGGTCTCCTAAATCATTGCCAACTCCTAGAAGACAAAGAGTTACTTGGGTTATCCGCTGTTGGCACCACGTCCATCACTTTCATTGCCTCCTGACACAGGAGTGATAAGCAAGAACCTCTTTGCTTGTCTTATATAAATGTATTGCTGATGGTACTGTCTTTGAGAATCTGAATCATGGAATTCTGTAAAATAGATATGAATGCAATGCATGCTAATCCGACTGCTCATAATTCTAAAACGTATATGGGTGGAGTCACACTTTTTAGGGACCAAGTTCCTTGTATATGGAGTTGGCCAAGACATGTGCCCCCACCTGTTCTTGATGCATCTGTGATCAGTATCTTTGCAGGAGGAGGGATGGAATGCTCTTGAGGTCTGACCTTCCATTCAGTGCTGATAAAATGTGAGCAGGGACCATAACTTAAATACCCATTTGATTTCTCCTGGGGTGATACACAGACTTTACCTATGCCCATTACAGTGCTGGCTAAAGTTTGGCTAGTGGTGTCGCATACATGCCAAACTGATATGTGGCCAATAAGTTTGAGGCAGTTTCTTATTGCAGTTGATGGATTTGTTTTGATACTGGTAATGATCATTTGGATAGACAGAACTCTGTTGTTGGAAGATATGCCTTTAATGATTTGGAATTGACTAAGGCACCTGTAAATGTTATTGTTTATGATGGGGTAAGAGATAGTTTCTCATAAAAATTCTCAATGGAGCTCCAGCTGTCTGAAAAGGCGAAGGACATAGATCCAGGCTGTGGTGACTTCCTGATGAGACCTGTCTTTGATCAACCAATCATCTAAATATGAGTAGATGTGAATGCCTCATCATCTCCTCAGCTGTGCTGCCCCTATTCCCAGACACTTAGTGAAAACTGTCGCTACTCTGGAAAGACCAAACAGTAGAACATTCTATTGGTAATGATTGGGACTCACTGCAAATTGTAGATATTTCCTGTAGGCTAAATGAATTGCAGTATGGAAGTATGAGTCTTGGAGGTTGAGAGCCACAAACCAGTCCTGAGCCTAGGAAAGGGATGAAGAAGGTGAGCATTCCTATCCTAAATCTGAGACAGTGTATATGTTGTTTAGTCCTCTCGAGTCTAGGATAGGACAAAGACACCCTTTTTGTTCTGAAACAAAAATATCAAGAGCAGAAACCCCTTCCCCTGTACTCTAGCGGTACCTCCTCTTTGGCTCACAAGCAAAGCAGGGAAGCCATTTTTTAGCATTTTGTAAGAAGGATTCATGAAGAGGGATGGGGAAGGGTAATGGAGCAAGGAAACAAACTGGATGGAGCACCATATGAGACAACTTCCAGCACCCATTGGTCAGTCGTAATTGCAGTACAAGCCTGATGGAAGAAAGCAAACCAGAATCTGAAGGCAGGATCTGGGGATGGCTCTTGCCTGATTTTGTTGTGGTTCTTAACCCTTGTGTCATACCTGCAGACTAAGACTGATCAAAGACCAAGAAAGATTAGCTCCTCTGAGAGAACCTTGGTTTCTTTCTGGGCAGTTATTCAGAAGACTATTGCTAAGGGTAAGT